CATATCTATGATTGTACATAACAATGCTATTCAAACCTGAAGAAAATTCAGACATTCATGATAAGGCTCATAGTATCCTCTAGAATCAGATCAAGTCCAAAGATAGTCATTCAGATCAATCGATAATTTTTTTGATTAATTTCAATTGTAAGTGGTCAGCTCAAAGTGTCACAGCATTTACATCATTCAATATTAAGTTCTGGAGGTCTTCATTCCAACACAGATTGTCACAACACCTGAATTCTGACATTTGTGTCACTTTTAGGAATAGTGGTTGAATTCTTCAAGATAGAAATCACTAAAGAGTTAGTTCAGAAATTATGAAAACTTATCATGCTTAACAGAGAAAGACATATCAATGTATATAATCAAAGATGATTTTAGTGAGATTCGGTTTCTTTAAAAAAAGCTAATTTAGTTCCATCATATGCAAAACTAAATTTATATGTTGCATCTCGTGTAGCTGAAAGCATGAATACCAAGATAGAAGCATCCGCTTATGTGAATGAAGATAAAGGAATTTATAGAACAACCTTCGCTAAGAATAATTCCCAAGAAACTAAATGATTTCTAGATTTGGCAATAGAACGGTCAGTTGATCATCCAAAATACTCCTCAAAGAACTAAATGTAGCATCCAGAACTCTTCTTTCACTCAAAAGAAAAAGATAATACATCTATTGAAATATAATGTGAGAAGTAATCAGTTAAACTACCGTAGATGTGGGTGTCCTAAAGAGTATGTGGCCACAAAATCTGACATCATGTTCACAAATTTCTAAAGATTGGGTATAAAATGATACATCTTAAACTGCAATGCAATTGCTTAGCATAGTATAAGATGAGAAAGCATAGCCACAAGGTTGCTAGATAGCCAAATCTACTTCACATATTAGGAAGAAACATGCCCCCTATAGTTTTGACATACCTGAGCACCATATATGGTAGCAACCAACCCTTTTTACATGAATAAGACAAAAGGAGTCATCAGATTTGATATTTATAATAGGATGCACTTATTACTCTCTAAAAAAAGGTTCCACTTATCTACATGCATAACAATACCTTTGTAGAGAATAAATTATATCCGATGAAGAGCTATAGAAATACAATGCATATTTAAGCTGAAAGGAGCATAGAGGACACATACACATTAACGACGTACAACACCCACTAAACCTCTTTGATTACATCAAGCCACTGAATTATCAGTTATAATCTCCCTCAATCATACAAGCTTACAAAGAATGTTTTTCAGACTAATATCTGCTTGAATATCTGGTATTCGGTGCACAATCCCAAGCCAAAAATAAAACACAGAGAAATTTTCTTGTTCTGATTTGTGATTCGGACTTCTGCAGTCGATCTACACATGCGGCTATTCTTCGTTCGCGTCATTGTGAAGCAATCAAGCAGTAGCATCATATTGTCCACATCGTCGTCGCCGATCTGGAGGGCATGGCCGACCCGATCTCCACCAGCACCCCAACGTCGTTGGTAGGCCGCGCCGCCCGCTGGTTGTCGGCCTCACCTGGTGCGAGGTCGCCCCGACGCCGCCGGTGCCATCTCCTTCAAGCTCCGCCGGTGTCGTCAAGTTCGTCGCGGCGTCGTCGGCGCGACACAGGGTACGGGGGAACCCGTCCCTACCGGCTCCTTCTCTGCGGCCGCCGCCGCCTGGGGAGCTCATGCCCACCGCAGCCGCCTACGCCTGCAGGCCGCCGTTTCACCGTCGATGCATCCTCCGCCATCCACGCTGCCGCCCGGATCTGGATATCGTCGTCGTTGCGGTCAATCCCATCTCGCCGAGCTCCGGCCTCGCCGTCGTCACCATCTCCACCCGGCCGGATGACGCCGGCACTTGCCTCGCCGTCTCCTGTGCCGCTGCGGGGGGACTCGCCTCCACCACCGACGTGTGCGGGTCGCCGCTGCCCGGATTCCTCGCTGCCCCTCCTGGGACTCCACGATGGGGGCCCGCCGGTCTCCGCCGCGTTGCTCCCGGCGGCGCCCCGACACCGCCGCCGTGGGAGGACGGGTTCCGCCCTCACCGAGCACGAGCTCCCTCCACCGCCTCCCGCCATCCGCCTTGCTGCGCCGGCGCCCTCCGTTGGCCCGATGCCCCTGGCTCCTCTCATAATCTCCCAAATCAAGCGTCGGGGCCAGAAGATTGATCCCCACGCCATCAATCTCCATCACAGCATCCTCGGAGCTAGCGCAGCACCATCCAATCCCCTGCTTGACCTCACAGAGAGAGGAAGAGAAGGGAGCAAAGGTGGGGGGAGCGGCAGGAGCCCAGGAGATGGAGGAAGGCGGGGGAGAGTACGAGGGATGTCATCTGCGGTGAGGAGAAGCGGGTGAGGGGGAGGGAAGACGATGCAGCACCCGGCGGCGCCGCAAAGGCAGGGGAAGAGCAATCGAGAGAAGGGTGGGGTACAATGGCGGCTAGGGTTTCGGAGAAGCGAGGGGATGGAGGATGGGGATGTTTTCTTTTGCAAGAAAACCCTCTTACTTTCTTGTTTTAGAGCGCGCCCCCTATATTCGGAATTTCTTCTCTTTCACATATAATAATACCAGTACATAGAGGACCACTACGTAAGAATACAAAATACAGAGAAGTACGACCAGGCAGTTAGGAATGATTATCAAAGAAAGCGAGGGTTTTTTTGCAAAATTGCCAGCTCCAGCGCAGGGTGACGTGGATATCACGGGAAGCGAACACGCCAGCCAAAAAAGCCCCGGAGCGCTGTGGTGGCTCCATTTCGCGGTCCCCTTTAATCTCTCCGATACGAGCATCAAAACAGTACCTCTGCAAACAGCATGTGAGTCCATACTGGATGTGCCTTGCCGTTCATTTAAAACACAACTTCCAGTGGAAGCATTTGATTTTGCGTGCAACACAGGATAATTATCAAAAATTGCATTCTTCATATAACTTTTAATTGGAAAAGGGTATAGTGAAAGACAAGTTTTTTTTTCTCCAACTGTGGTAGTCGATCTGTTTCAATAGTTCAATTCCAACTGGCCTTTAGAGTCTAAGGCCTTGTTTAGTTTGCTAAAAGAAATTTTTTGGGTGTCACATCGGATGTTTAACCGGATATTGGAAGGGGTTTCGGACACGAATGAAAAAACTACTTTCATAACTCGTCTGGAAATCGCGAGACGAATTTATTAAGCCTAATTAATCTGTCATTAGCACATGTGGGTTACTGTAGCACTTATAGCTAATCATGGACTAATTAGACTCAAAAAATTTATCTCGCGATTTCCATGCAAATTGTGCAGTTAGTTTTTTTGTTTATCTATATTTAATGCTCCATGAATAGTCCAAAGATTCGCTGTGATGTTTTTGGGAAAAAAAATTTGGAAACTAAACAAGGCCTAAATGTGTTTACTTGTTGATTGTAATTATTAGCTTAAATTTGTACTAATAATCAACAACATAATTATATGTTTGTAGAATATACTTGGAAAGAAGTCTAGTAATAACATTAACAAATTTATCTTGATTTGATTTTAACAATATTATCATGACAACTAATACTTTATCATGCTTTCAGTCTTTCACATGACACGTCCGCCTTCATTAAATTTATAAATGTGTCATTTATTAATTTGAAATAAACAACATTACCATAACATTAAATTATTAACCATAGTTATGTTGATTTTGTAAAATGTATAGTAAAGCTCATTACTTATGTCGAAGCAAATTTTATTACAGAAAATTCACTATACATGTTTTCATATCAAATTTACTATGCATTTGTTGTATTACATTTAATTTTACTATACGTACCACTTTTGCATATATCAACCCCCACTTGCACCATTGGTTACTTTTTAAAACATAAAATTCCTAGGTCTTTCTAAGTAAATATGTATATTTAATAAATGGGCAGAACAGAAGTACCCTGGAACATATTTTTTACTTTCAGGCGGAAAATAAAATAAAAAAATCTTTGTAAGGGTGCATGTGTACCAGCATGAGAACATAAAAGACAAGTTGGATTTCCATCCGAATACACGTGAACACTCGTTATTGCTCTATTTACAGTGATCTTGGTTTCCATCATCCTTTATCCGACGGTCCACATTTATTCCACCTATAATATATGTCTTCTCATAGATCCGACAGTTCATGAAACATCTCAAGTTTCACTTTTCACTTGTAGAGATATGTAGAGTGACAAAATGCGTGCACTTTCATTAATTTTCCTTTAAAGAGATAATGCTGGCATTTGCGTTTGTGACTGATGCTGCCCTGAGGCCGTGCTAAACATTCAATAATGCTGTACAAAACTGGTTGCCAGCATGGCTTCCGCTTGTGACGAAACACAACCTAAGTGCACGAAGCGTGGGGTTTCCATCTTCAAGATGACTGCCTTATTTTTTGCATCGTGTACTTCTGGCAACGCGCAATGTGCTACATGGAAATAAATATACTGTTGTCTACCGAATAGAACAATGCCAATAACTTTGAAACTCCCCAACAGCTCGCAAGCCTATATTTGTCTCACACAGCTAGCATTGCATGTATGTTTCTTGTAGCAAATTGGAGAGGCCTCACGCTAAAGTTAATGAGGGTTCACCCCCTCTATGATACACATGTATATATCTAGTGATTTCTGCCACAGAGAACAATGTTACTCCTTCCGTCCCATTTTAAGTGCAACCATGAGTTTTCATGTCCAACTTTAATCGTCCGTCTTATTTAAGATTTTTTTAAGAAGAAGTAGTATTTTTATTGCTATGAGATGATAAAACATGCATAGTACTTTATGCATAACTTATGTTTCTATTTTTTAAAAAAATTTAAATAAGACGGATGATTAAAATTGGGCACGAAAAATCATGGCTGCACTTAAAATGGGACGGAGGGAGTAGCTTCTATAGCTGTTGGGATTAAGATTTCAACTTTTCTTTGGAACAGTACTCACATGACTTATAATACCCATGGAGGAGGCCCTAACATGCCAACCCAAATCATTAGCAAACAAGAGGATCTTATCCAGAAGTAGTATAGAAAATTGAGCGACACCTATGATTTGAGGCTAGAATACATATTCTTTATAGGGCAAATCTAATGCTCTGAATAAACGTATGTGATTGTTCTATGTCGATGTTTCCATCTGTAAAAATATAATGGGGTAGCACAAGACCTAAAAATGAATGGATGTGGAAAACAAGGATTTAGACAAATTCAGCCTCACACGTTGAGAGGTAATACCCTATTTCTAATTTGAGATTGTATCCGTTGGATGTTGTATTGATCTGACGATCTGATTGTGTTTCTTGTCCTTGAGAGGCTCCTTCCCACCTTATATAAGTTGAGGAACAGAGTTACAAGGGAAGTTATGTTACTTTATTGCTATGTTTCGATAGAAACATTATCACGGAAGGGCACTAAAATGGTATATTACTACAAAATTTATAGGTAATAACATTACAATGCAAATTGCAATAACAGAGAACATGTAATAGTAACAGTGGTGCCATAGTAGTACTGCTTGTGTAGAACTAAAATCTTTTAAATCTCAATCTTTAGAGAGCAATATCTCTCACGTCATAATTATTTTTCTAATCCGTTTGTACTATTCTGTTTGTAAAAAAGTGCTTAATGAAGCTAGATCTATCTTGATTATTTTTTGATGTGGTTACTGCCGAAAGCAATCGTTTTACTATAAATTGGCCGTCACATTGCTATGACATTCCTTTGAGACAGGAACTGAAAAGAAATGGCGGAGGGGAGGTAGCAAGCCGGTTTGGCCGGCAGGATGGGCTTTTGACCGGCCTTAGACCGAGGTAGGAGGGGGCTTTGGCCCATGGAAGGGAGTGTAGAATAGATTCGACATATATATATATGGATTAATATAACAGGCAGTTCCACATAAACTTAATTATTGGGCGATTTTACAACACAACCAAGCATACACACACTTATTGCAAGCCTCACAACAACAAAATTAACATACATGCTCCACACTAGCAAATGGATGACCGCTTGTGTATCGACAACTATTGTGGCCTTCAGGGGTAAACCTCGATGATTGACCGAAAGCCTAGAACCGGTATGATCTTGTAGCCACTAAACCCTGCTTCGATAAAAACCTTCTTCCACTCTTTCTCATCTCGCTCGACACCATTGATAAGCATCATGTATGCACCAAACAAGGCTTGCAGCTCTATATGTTTTTGATCAGGCGAACCTGCTCTGACCACAACATCTATGATTATCACCTTTCCTCCAGCATCCTTAGAGGGGATAGCTTTTTTGGCATTCTTTAGTACCTTGACACATTCGTCATCACCCCAGTCATGCATAATCCACTGAAAATAAAGCAAAAATACCAAGAGAGCCACAATGTAAATACATAACACTTCCTTCCAGTTAGAAGTTATAAATTATGGCTCAGATTAAAACAAAACACCGTACCAGTTATAAATTGTTAATTATTGATTTCAAAATTTTGGCATTATTATATTAGTGAAATAATTAAATTCAGAATATAAGACCAGATTAAGTTCATATTTAAGTAATTTGGAATTTTTAAAAAATAAATGATTGAAAAAATAAAATTAACACAAGCCGAGTACAGCTTCGTATTTGGTTAATTTTATTTTCTGAAATTATTTTATGAATTATAAATAAAATTACATAGTGAGCCCATCTTAATCATGACCTCATATTTTTCATATAAAACCATCCGGTTCACGCGGTTCGCAGCGGTCTAATTGCATGTCTGGTGTTTGCAGCAAACCGACCCGACAAAAGGATGGTGGTTCCGGTTTTTTCCGGTTCAACCGTTGACCCAGTCTGGTTTTTTTAACTATGGACACGACATGCTAATTATTAGTTTAAAGATTGAATTGCAAGTTTGGGCCACCATTTTGTTAGCCTGGTTTCGGTTTGGACCATCATTAATTTATCTAACCTTCTCACTTTTCACTACATAAATTTTACTTTGTGGCACTTTGAACAATCAAAACCCTCTTATACACTTTAAAGTTGTGGTATTCATGCATACAGCTACGGGAGTTCATCGGCGTGCGGGAGCCACTGTACTCGATGCTATTGGTGTGCGTAAGAAGAGAGTCGGGGTACGTAGTCCAAAGTGTAGTATAAAAAAAGGTAAACTACCTGTTTCATAGTGAAAAAAAAGTTCAGATAAACGGCGGTTAAAACCGAATCTTGGATGGGTAATGAAAGGTGGCTCAGACTGATTTGGTTATTCTTTAAGAAAAAAAATACAAAATCGAGATGTTCGGGTAGTATTAGTTTATCTGTGTTATTAAAGCCATTGAGTTCAATGAGCCGGGTTCATGTTCGGGTGCTCGTATTAATTATGTATAGTAATTAGTTATTTAGTGATCGATAAACTATGGATCCATTAATTACCATCAATAGCAATGCATGCAGACGTGGTTTTATCTAGTTCAATTTCCATTTCACATGCATGCCTTCGATCGAGGACAATTCCATGCTGAGCAAAGAGCGTAAGTAGGCATCTATTACAACAAAGTTTGGAAGTAACAGCTGATGAGCAAGAGAAAAAGGAGACGAATACCTTGAGGAAGACAGCGTTTGCCGGTGGAATGCTCTCGAACATGTCGCCGGCGATGTACTCCACGCCGGTGCCACCGGGAGCCTTGGCGACGACGTGGGCGAGGTCCATCACGCTGCACTTCACCTCCGGGAACGCCCTGGCGATGGCCTGCGCCGCCGTGCCGTGGCCCCCGGCGACGTCCACCAGCGAGCTGATCCTCCGGAACACATCGCCGTGCTCCCTGACGACGACGTCCATCACCAGGCGGCTGTCGGAGACCATCGCGTCGTTGAAGACCTTGCTGAAGGCGGCGTCGCCGTCGGCCACCTCCCACAAGCTCCGGCCATGGGTGTGCTCGAAGATGGACGAGCCCGGCAGCTCGCGCTGGAGCCAGTCGCCGATCCGGAGGAAGGGGGTGATGCAGCTCGGGTGGAGCAGCAACGACATGATGGGCGCCTGCTGCAGGTTCCCGGAGCTGACCAGGAGGCGGGACACCGGCGTGAGCGCGTAGACGGGCGGCTCATCGGCCGCAGTAGGCTTCTCGACGGCGAAGACGCCGGTGAGGGTGAGCACGCGCATGAGGCGGCGCAGGCACGGGATCTTGGAGGGGTGGAGCGTGACCCTGGTGAGTATCTGGGGCAGGGTGGCGGCGCCGCCGTGGTGGTGGATGGCGTCGGCGATGCCGAGGTCCATGGCGGTCTTGAGGGCCATGGACTTGACCACGGCCAACGTGTTGGCGTAGAGCTCGAGCTGTGCATCGAGGAGGCCAGCACCGTGGTCATTGCTCTGAGTGGTCGCCATGTCACTGCTTCTCTATCTTCCTCTCAATTTGGAATATGATGATGGATTGATGGTCCGAGCCAAGAGGACGATATTTATAAGTTGAGGGCTCAACTGTTCCACAACTAGAAATATACCGGCAATACAGAGTAAATATGCAGTATTATAATAGGGGCAATAAAACATTAGATTAAATTTTAATGTAGTTATAGTAGACTCGGAGTGTAATTAAATTTTAACCATGCATCTATTATTATTACTTAAACTTACTTCAACATATTACAGCTCAAAAATCTTCACCTGATACTTGTACAAATGCTCTAAAACATTACAAGACGCTCTAAAATTAGATGAAATTCTATAAATTCTTAGAGAAAAAAATCCTACCATTGGTCTGTACCCGGTAAAACCATTATTTTAACAATAGCTCATCTTTCAAACGAACAAGCCTCAAAAATCTCCTATCCTGGCCATCCGCACGCACAATGCATAACCTTCTTTTTCCTCCATGTTTTTCTCGATGGTTGTTCTGATTTCAAGCCAACCATAATCTTTTGCCCCAATCAATAAAGTCTGTGATAGTAATTTTTTCGTAGGCGTTCCTTATAACTAGGAAGGTAGCCCGCGCATATGCGCGGGCATGTGCGTAAAATTTTATTACGAATGTCCATGTGTGGATGGTTTTATAACAAAAATATTCTTTTACTTTATCATAAACTAAAATTTAACTTATTTAACGTGCTTTAAACGTTGGTTACTTGCTAACGTATAAATTGTGAACTAAAATTACTTAAAACTGTGTGCTTTTAATTCATGAGAAAATTTTGTATCGAAATTGATGTGTTTCCTATGAATGTCAAATTTTTTTGGTTAAATTCTGTTTGAAATTTTAAATATATTCATTTGATTAGTCCTCGTAAAATGTTTGGATATTTCTATTTAGAATGGGTTATAAACCCAACGAAAAGAAATTTAAAATTAGATAAATTTTGTTTAATTTTCATTTCTTTTTATCTTCATTTTTTTTGGTCAAATCCACTTTATGAAGCATCTTGAAATGCTTTGATCTTATGTAATTCGGGATGAAAATATAAGTGGGTTGATCCTACAACCTGGCATGGGGTAAAGGCATCCATTCTAAATTTTCTCGCTCCAATCAAGTAAGAAAATTTAAAATAGAGGCCATAGTATTTTCTTAGCAAATTACCACTAAACTGGAGTGTCATGTAATAATTATACGTTTCTAGATTGTTTTGTGCTATGTCACAAATTCGTGATGTACTGTAGCAAGTTTTACCCGAAAAGTAAATAGATACGGTCTTTTAATTCCTATCTGGAATTGGATTATATATTGTTGAGGCCACATCATGGTTGTTTTACTCTTAAGATTTCTTGGTGCAACCAATGTGCTTAGTATGATTGGTATATATGTTGTTCAACTGGCCACGTGACTTCATAGATCATATGTATAATTTAGATGATATGACCATCTTAAGATTATTTATTTATCTCCTAAAATGATCATTTATTCATAAAAGCATCAATATCAAAATGTATGGGTAAATAGCTCCTGTATATACGCTGAGAATAAAATTATTTAAGTTGATAGAGAGTTGTTAGATGTCTAACGGGATATAAGTAATGGGTCTACCAATTTTATAAAAAATTAAGGTGGGATAATTTGATTTTTAGTGAGCAATTTTAGTATTTTATTTTATTTAGGGTAAAATTTGTTACATGACATTAAAAATATAATTAGCTAGGGACACAGTAAGAATGCGTATCAGCTGTAGGACACCAAAAAAAAAACTGGTAGTTAGTTGCTGGACACCCGCAACATTATTTTATAATGTCCAACGGAAATGGAGAGAGAAACAATAACAAAAGTACAATTTTGCCCCTTGCATACCAAGTCTGGCTCGCATACACCTCCGACGCGGCAACCGCACCCGCCGCCGGTGAGGTGGCTATCTAGAGGGGGAAGGGGGTTTCAAGGAGGGCCCATGCGCCTGGGCCATGCCGGTGTCGATGCTCCGCCACACACCGTGCTTGGGGGTGAGCACTACATGGAGCACCTCCTGATTTATGTCGAGCAGGGCGCCGCAGAGCGCAAGCTATTGTTGTCGGTCTCACAGCTGCGCCACACCACGCTGCCATATCCTCCACCGTCCATGTCGTGACTACAATGGAGTCAGACCTATATGCGAGCCGCACATGGCAGGAAGGGGCAAAATCATACTTTCGCGACTGTTTCTCTCTCCCTTTCCTTTGGATATAAAAAAAATAATGCCACGGGTATCCAACAGCTAATTACCATTTTTTTCTGTGTCCCATACCATATATATGTTCTTCCAATGTCTCTCAACTAACTACACTTCTTTTATGTCCTGTAGCAAATGCTATCTTTATTAAGTAGAGGCTTTAATATGGATGTGGGTTCATAAAGTAATTTTTTTAGCACTTAAATATAGTCAATATCGGTATTAAGTTATTGTTTCCACTTAAAAAAAATAATAGCCGGCTAGACCTAATAGATGGAGATTCATTTGTGGTCTTTTCTTTGCCCATAAAAATAATTTTAATTTTAGTTATCATAGAGACGGAAAAGCATAGAAAAGTAACGCCGCACACCGCATGGGAACAGGGATGGAGGGAGGGTTTGGTATGTTTCTTTTTTTTAGAAAAAAACTGATCGATCTAACGACATAAAATAATGTGTTGAAGTTCAAGACAAAATCGATGGTTGGATATTATTTTTTTTTTTAGATTTATTAGAATATTTTATAATTTAAGTGAGACAATTAGCAGCTTGGCAAAATGCCCATAGGGATTGAGAGGAAGGGAAGATGGTTTGGGGTGTTTTTTTAGAAAAAAAAAGATCCAATTATGATGTATATTAATGTGTCCAGATTTAAGTAGAAACCAATGGATCGATGTTTCTCTAATGTCATACAACAATTTAGAAATATTTATAGAATGTTTAATGGACTTTAACACCTATTTATAAGATTGTTTTTCATAATGATATTTTTAATTTAAATTGTGATAGGGATAAAAAAAGAGAAAGGACAGGGAGCAGCAATTTGATCAATTTGATCAGTATGTCCGTGGTGCACTGATATGGGAACGTGGGAGGTTTTGGTTTTCTATGATAGATCTAACGATATAGAATAATGGGTCCACCAATTTAAATGAATATTGATATTTATTGAGTTTCTTGAGATTATTTATAGGGTGTCATGTGACGGTTTGAGAGTGCTTGTAGAAAGTTTAATGGATTTTATTTATTATATAATAGATAGATATACAGATATAGATGGTACTACGTACGTATGTATGGTTTTTTTAGCTTTATATTATACGGTAGATAATTATATTCTATATTTTTCTTCCGATGATACTTTGTTTGTATTATTTTTTTTTGCTTTATCTCTTTTTTAATACGGCCTGGCATTTTTTCTCTTCCGCGAACGGAACATGCGCGCTTTTTTTCCCGAATCATACGTACTTTCACTTTTATACAGGAAAGATATTATATATAAACTAATGATTAGTCTAAAGTAATGGGTCCACCAATTTAATAAAAATCAACCATACATATATATCTAATCTAATAGTCTAAAATAACGGGTCCACCAATTAAATAAAAATCGATGGTGTGATTAGATAGTGCCACATGGCGGTATAGGAGTGTTTAGAGTATTTTTTTTTTGCTTTATCTCTTTTATAACATGGCCGGGTAATTTTTTTTCTTCCAGCGAACGGAACGTGAACGCTTTTTTCCCCGAATCATACTTACCGGAGATTTGCCGACGTACGTATTTTCACTTTTATAAAGGGAAGGTATTATATATATATGGATATATATACTAATGATTAGTATAAGTAATGGGTCCACGAATTTAATAAAAATCAGATGTAATCTAAATATCTAAAATAGTGGGTCCATCAATTAAATGAAAATCGATTGTGAGATTAGATAGTGCCACGTGACGGTATAGGAGTGTTTATAGAGTGTCACGTGGCGGCTTGAGAGCGTTTTTAGGATGTTTAATGGACTTTTAGTATATAATAGATAGATAATAGATAGATAGATAGATAATAGATACTGGTATGCTTTTTATAGCCAACGGATATATTAAAAATGTGATGGCTCGCACATCGCAAGAATATAGCTACCGTGCCTAGCCTAATTATATAACTTTAGGAAATCCAAAAACAAAATAGGGAAAATACGCTACAAACTCGATTTTCTTTTAAAAAAATGACATCTGGCCGTTGGGAAGTTACTCTAATTGAGAAATTTGTGCCTAACAAACCACATATAGAAAACTAAAACACATTTGTTTTAAAAATATGTATGTAAAACAAAGTAAGCGTAACTTAACTGGTTAGATTACCGGTGGTGAAACTAGCCTACACAGCTAGGTTCATGTCATAGACTTGGTATGGGTAGCTAATTATACTTTCAGTGATTAGTGTCGCACCCATTGATAGCGAGACGTTCGTAGTGATTTTCCCGAGCTACTCATTGGTTTAGGCAGTGGTGTAGCCAGGATTTCAAGATAGGGTGATCCAACCCAACATTTTTTTTACACTATACATAATATTTACCAAATGCATTCAGGTCAAACAATAAAGGTCTTACAGACATATTAAGATAAACAATTCTAAAAATTACTTAATATAACTTACGCATCCTCAATAATTGAAGAAAATAGTACTACTTTTTGTCGGGATTGGACCTTCTAATGGCCATAAAAGTGTTGATTATATCATCTTCATTTACTTGTAAGAAAATATCTCGCTCAAGGAAAGTGACTAGACAATCATCCAAAACATTGGCACCATCCTATTTCTTAACTTAATCTTGACAAAGGTCATTGCAGATAATATTCTTCAACACTAGCTGTTGCCACAAGTAATAGCAATACCATTTCAGAATTGAGGTACATTGAATTATAAACTTTATCCCTCTTTGTTTCAACAAGTTTAACTGAGAGCTCAACAAGATTGTTTAGGCCTTTGAACATTTCATATTTTCTCATGTCATCAATA